TGAAAGAAGTCAGGAGTGATTTAGAAGAAAGCTAGTGTAATCATTATATCTTAATTGCTTGATGACTAGTTGATGGATGCCAAAATGTATTCCCTAATCCAATTTTTAAATTAAATTTTGGAAAATAATTTATTATTATTTACTTAATTTTTGTCGCTTATATTTAAGATAAAGAAACAGGAAATAAGAGAGCCAGCTGGAGTGCTTCCTTGGTTGTTTTTTCTCTCAATATTAGGGAATATAATGTGAACAACAGCAAAAATTCACCCTGACTTTGTATATACAGCAGTTTGACCTTCTTCATGTTTGCATGCTCAATACAGGTAAAAACAGCTATAAGAACATTAGATTTCCTTAAATGTTAAGTTAAATTATTGCAGACCTCAGTACCTGAATTATATTTAAAAAACCCCAAGAAGCCCACACAAATGCACTCTAATTCAACATTCATTTCCTTTCTGCTGTATCCACTAGTTTTGAGTAAAAACATAAGAGAAACCAGACTGAAATTAAAAAACATGAAATTTTCCTCTATTGAACCAATACAAATTGAAGAGTAGCTTCAACAGCTAGCCCCAATACATACAGGTAAGCATAAGAAGTTTAGGCATGACCAGTTTCAGTTTGAGGACTTGATTCTCCTACTGCAGGATACAACGAATTCCCAGCCATTTTAGTGAACAGAAAACCTACTGAAACCTACAACAGCAATTGTATAAACCTCCAGGAAGATCACGGTCCTAGGTTATTATTTTTGTAACAAGAATTTCTGCTTTACTTTCTCTCCATCTTGTTACAACTCCAAATTACTGCAGACTACGTAATCTTCCATATGGTTAAATTCATTTTTTAAGTTTTCAGAAAGAAAAAAGAAAACAAAGAGAAAATTATGTATTGAAAAAAGTACTTGTGAAAAGGAATATAAGAATTATGTGCAGAAATGAACATTTGTCATAGTTTGGGGACTCACCCATCAAACGTGTAAAATTTACTATCCAAGAGGTCACATTTTCTCAGTGACAGAATGTGCAAGGAAATAAGTTATGCTCTCTTATATGCATATGAGAACATATTTGTGCCACTGCTTGTTGTCCCCAGACATGCCTCTGCACGTGTGTTCTGGCACGCAGCAAATTGCCACAGGTGGGGTAGGAGAGGCTAGAGCCAGTACCTGGGCTTGCCCCAGCAGTCTTACCTGGGGTCTTGGGACAGGAGCAGCAACTATCCAGACACTTGAAGCCTGGCTGGTAACCAGTGTGGCTCTGGCTGGCCAGGCTCTAGTTTCAGATGGTGCACGCTGCAGCCACATGTGCTGCACTGCTTTTTTCTGTCGTGTTCTTTTTTTTTTTAAATACTGGGATTTCCCATATCTAATTTTGCTGCCCTGCTGCAAATATGCAACATGAAAAACAGAATAACAAACACCCTGTACATTTTGCAGTGCCTCAAAAGGCTTTAAGGCACCGCAAACCGCACTTTCCTGCTTGTGGGGACACGGCCCACAGTGCAGCTTGCACTACTGATGTAAATTTGATTTTCCAGGAAGCAGTTTGAAGAACCATAATCTGGTCCTCAAAGGACATGGCAGTCTCCTTAAAAAACATATCATCATCAGAAGTTTTACATGCGTGTCTTATGAGAGAATGTAGAAGCCCCAACTAATAATCAGAAGGAAGAGCGGCAACTGAAATCATGGCACTGAAGGATATTAGAGAACAAGTAACAACAATAAAATGTCAGAGGGATCAGACCCTTTGACTAATGTATAAGTTAGTCATAGTTTCAGAATTTCCAGGTATAGAATCTAATCATTGGAGGTTTGCCTTTAATTTGTCCCCCTCCTACTGCTATAGCAAGGAAAATAAGTCAGGGGGACAGGGGTCAGGTAGCCCCTTTGTCCTCTGCCTCCTCACCTAGCAGCCCCTTCTTCCTCTCCTTGCTGTCAGACACGGCTCTCCCTAAGTACATGGAAGCGAGACACAAATTTGAAAACAATGACCTTGAAATTAAACATGGCTGTAACAATTTACATATAGTACCCATACACTTACTTATCCAGAATTGATACCCTTTTTAAAAAAATTCTTGCAAAGTTTAGCACACGTACTCTATAAACACACTTTTAAGCAGCACTTGTAAACTAGTGTAAACTTTTTTTTTTTTTTTTTAATTATTTATAATTTTGTTTCAAAGGCTGCCAAATCCATTTCAGATTCAATTGGGCATAGCCCAATAGTCAAATTCCAAAATTCACCTGAGCAGAGCTCAATTGTCAAGTCTGTGTGGTTCTACCACTGGGCAAGTATCTTTCCTCACAGACCGATGAGTCTGGGGTTTCAGATACTACCCAAAACCAGGCAGGCATCCTACATGCAAACTTTAAGTTTGGAGGCCTTGAGGTTCAAATGCCTCCAGTTTCACATGATCTTATCCAAAATTAGTCCAAAGCCAAAGGCTTGTGATTTACCATATAGTTCAATGGTCTGGGCCCCACCAGAGTTGACAGAATTTCAAGCAACAGGGACCCCACAGTTCAGCAGTGATCAGTAAGGGTATTTATACATGTACCCCTTGAGCTGGGGGGTGGGAGACAGCACTTTAATTAGAGCAGCTGCAAGAGCTGCTCTAATTAAAGCACCCTGAGCCTCTCATGCACCAGCAAGCCCATGCTTAAAAATGGCAGCAGGGGCAGTTTAACTAAAGCTCATTCAATGAGCTTTAGTTAAAGTGCGCCTGCCACTGTTTTTGAGCATGGGTTTGCTGATACACGAGATGCTAGAGTCTGCTGGAGCGTAGTTAATTACCACACTCTATTACCACTCAATTAAATACACAAGCCTTGCTGCTCATGTATAGGTGCCCTATGTATGTATTCCAGATACTCCCCACAAAGAATCCAGGTGTGAATTAGTCCCCCACACCACCCCATGCATGACTGGAACTAAGTGTTCTTGTCACGAGTCCTGGGATGCTCCAAAAAATTATATGCAGCTGAGGTGCATGGCAACCTGTTTACCGCATGGGGGGCACCACCACACTAGTCACATGCAACAGGCTGAAAGAGGGGATGAGAGAAGGCTTCTGGGGCCCCCACTTGGTGATGTTTGCCAGGAGTTTAAGGCTAGTGAAGAAACAGTAATCACTGGAAATGGGAAGAAAGATGCAGCTCAGCTGTCCTCAGGCAAGAGGAAGTCAAAATGTATTCGATGTAGTGGGCTCACCATGACTTGAAAGAGTCAGCACTGAGAGGGACTGTGCTGAATGGGCACTGCCATATATCTTACTGAGATCGACTTCACTGGCCTGTCTTTGTGGTAGGTTCCCATCAGTACTTTGGGCACTGGGGGAGGGTATCAGAGCTCGCTACAGCCTCTCCGAGTACCATCCTGGTAATGCAGTACCTTGCTCCCTCCTAGGAGGAAGAATTGCTTGTCTTTTGGGTTTTTTTTGAAGGGCCACACAAAAGGGTTCCATCAGCATGTTTGCCTAGTGTGTTTAATAGTCATGTTCAGTGTTGGCTGTTTTTAATCAACTTCATAGCTGGTTTCTATTGCTGAACACATGCTGCTTTTGGCAGCAGTTTCATGATAAACAATGTATTTAATGAGGCTTCCTTGTATGCGATAATAAGATGAGGGGCTTTTTCCCACATGCCAATTGGAGGGGGAACCTCATCTTGTATTTGAATAAATATAGTAATTTTTTTTTTTTTTTAAGGAAAAAGTTTAACGTGGTGTCTTTAGGCTTGAGGACTTTTCTTCTGCTGCCATACCGTGCACCAGTTGGGTCCTACCTTCTACTGGCGGCAACATTTCATGAAGGTGTAAGCACATAAACAACTAGTACTTTTAAATCCTTTAGAACCGAGTATAATATGAAATACCCTCACAGTAAAATCACTCTGACTCTAGGACAGAGGTTCAAAACCATAACTTATGATCCTATGGATACTGCTCTCAGCAAGACACAATATTGCACTGCCTACAAATATACCATGTTTACTTACAAGGCACCTTTTTTCTGAAAACTAGATGTTTGAAATTGAGGTGCGTCTTAAATGAGGGCCCAATTCTGCAGGAGTCATGCTGCCCAGCCTGTTTGAGCCAGATGGGGAGCCAGTGGCACCTGCTGACTCAGCTGAAGGACTACCCAGGTAGGATAAAAGGACCTGGCACTTCTGCTCCATCAGGATCAGTCCCTCAGCTGCTTCAGCAGGTGCTGCTAGCTGAGCCCTGAACTGCCTGGCTCCACTTCACAAGCTGGGTAGATGCTTGGCTTGGCAGGTGCTTCTAGTTACCCACTCAGTTTGAAGAGGGGCCAGACCAGCTCCAACAGAACCTGCCCCTCAGCTGAGGGGGGGGACAGGTGTCAATGTCTGTGCCAAATAGCCTTCTTTTCTTCTTGAGCTGAACTGGGTTGGTAGGCACAGCAGCACTTGCCAGGTCAGCTGAGAGCCCAATCCTTCTAGAGCCAAAAAGCATATCTAGCCCCTCTACTCAAGCCAGGTAGGCACTTGCCTGACACCACAGGTGATGCTGGCTAGCCTCAGCTGACCTGGTAGGCACTGCTGGCTGCTCACCCAGCTCAGCTTAAGAAGAGGGGCCTGGCAGTTCAGCACAGCCAGCAACACCTCCCTTGCCCTACAGCTATAGGATTAAGGGAGCAGCCACAGCTTTTTGCTTTCCCCTGCCCCCAGCCCAAGGGCAGTTTGCATGCATTTTCTCTGTGAAAACATCCTACTTAAAGGAAAAATCTGTTTTTGAAGCGTGGAATAAAGGAAAAGAGATGTGCATCTCATTTAGGAAAGGGACATGTGATATTAAACACAGGTTGTGTCCTAGATTTGCATTAGGTTTTTCAAATAGCCGAAGTCACCAGAAAAAAAGCTTTGTTACCTACAGTTTGAACCACCATTTCTCTATGTGTTCTTCATGCTCTTCTACCATGTTGTTGCATTCAAAGTTACTGCTGTCACACAGGTTTTCTATGATTTCTACAAGACGGATTTCACTAGACATGAGAGAAGGAAAGCCACGAGTTATTTTTAAAGAAAACATATGATCGCAAAGTATCTAGATATTACCTCTACAAGCTTCGTATGTTATCAGGTTTTTGTCTTATCTGGGCCAGTTCTATGATCAAGGCAGTTTTATGGAATCACTTGTTACAAAAGAATTAGCAGACATTGCATTGAACCGAAGTGCCAAATTACATAAAATCAATTTTTTTTTTAATACAGATTTTTACAGTTTCTTCTAATAAAAGATACATAAGCCTCATGTTGGCAATAGAGGCCCATCATCCTGCTAATAACTCGTGTCTCTAAGAGTTCTTCCCTTGCACTGCAGTACTCAAACTGAAATTCAATACCAGATATGCAAATTGGAAGAAAGACCAAAATTGAAACTAGCAGGTATCTGATGATGCATCTCGAGGAAATACATGTATGTTCTTAGTTTTTGAGGAAAAATAAGGAAAGTCTTTGTCTTTGGATAACTCTTCTCTGGAGGTCCCTTCCAACTCTAGTTCTTTATGATTCAATGAAACCTCCAATGTATGGAGTTTAAAGCTTCTCTGACTGTCTGGAGAGAAATCTGTGAGATCAATGGACTAAAATGTATTCGGAGGGCTGATGGTAGGGTGTCTTATGTAGAGTTTGGATTATTGAGCATACAGGATAGTTTGGATAGGGAAGATCCTGTCTCAGGCAGGAAGATAGGGCTAGATCAGCGTTTCTCAACCTGTGGGTCATGACCAAGAAGTGGGTTGCAAGACCATATGAAAGAGTTGTGAACAAACTTTAAAAATGGATTCTCCTTTCACGGAGAAAAACGTGGGAGATCTTGGCTTTTCCCTAGCAGGTTGGCAGAGTTTCAGTCTGCGAGGGGCTGCTTCAAGCATCCCATGCCCCACACAGTGCCCCCTACTCCACACACTGTAGGGCAGGGGGCAGTGGGTCAGGAGTGAGCAGCACTGGGTTTGGACTGGCTACTGATGTTTACAAATGGGTCTTGGCACAAAAGGCATTTTGGTTGCCACTGCATTAGATGACCTCTGGAGGTTCCTTCCAGCCCCATGCCTCCAAGTTTCTATGACTTAACAGCTGAGAAGGTGGAGCTTTGCTTTCTACAGTTGTCACTGCTAACCAAAATGCAGAGGCTAAATGCTGAGCTACAGCCTCCCTCGCCAGCTGCAAGCCTGGGGGGGGCGTGAGCTGCAGGACAGAAAAAAAAGAAAGCAGCAACAAACACTCAGAAGTTCAAGGACGTGGCAGCTTTGACCGTGAGCTTGGCTCTGGCATGGACCAGCCACGGAGCTGCAAGGCAGGTGCTGCCGGCTGCCCTTACCTGGATTCATACTTGGAGAGCGCCCTCTCCTCCCACGCCGTGTTGCCACCGCCAAAGTTCTTCCTGGCAGTGTCCGCTAAGCCCTGCGGGGGGAGAGGGAGGAAACCATGCTTCAGGCACAGCCCAGAACAGTGGCTCCTGCACCTACGGCCTCGTTGAATGCTCCCCTCACCGACAGGGAGGGGGGGAAGCTGATGGGGCAGGAAGAGGGGATGATGGGGGGCAGAGTGACCAGGGGAGAGCGAAGAGATCATAGAAGGGAATGGGGGGGGGCAGGAGTCATGGGGGCGACAAGAGGAGGGATCATGGGGGGCTGATATGGGTGACAAGAGCAAGATAATGGGGGAAGGGGTGAACGGGGGGATGAGGAGAGGGATCATGGGGGTGACGAGGACGGGGGCAGGGGTGGCAGGG